TGCTCCCGGTGCCTCTGGTCTGCTGGGGACCATCTCCAGCAGACCAGGGACACCGGGAGCAAAGCCGGGGAGGCGGAGGGGCACTGGGGTATAAGACGAAACCCTATCTTTTAACTAAAAAATTAGGGGGTCGTCTTATACGCCCAGTAGCCTTATACGCCGGAAAATACTATAATATTTACAATTTGTTGTAGTATTTGCTTTTAGAGTACTGTCACCTCTAAAGTGTAATAAATGTTATCTTTTTAATACAATTTTCATTTTTTTGCAGTGTGAAGTCATTCTAGTGACATTAACTTAGGAGGAAACCTGAAGAAGCTATAGATTTGTAAGTGCATCTTAAAAGACACGATTTATTAGCTGTATGATACCTTCTCATGGGATTAGATTTGCTTCTAAAGAATAAATACAGTAAACTGCACATAATGGACCTCTATGCATGCCATATAGACTCTATAGTTATACAGAAACACAAAACCTCTAGGACTGCTTTGCTAACAATTTAGCAGTAGTCAAAGAATGTAGTACAGAGAATAAAAACTCCACCCAAAAATTTCAGTAATTCAATAATTTATTCATCTAAAAAAGTGTGTAAAAGTATATAGCTCTCATCCACAAGGTATATATGAATGACATTTAAAATGGAGGTCTTTATTATTATTATTATTTCTTCTTTTTATCAAAGTCTTTTAGTGTACTGTACCAGCGATATACTGTAGATTTAAAATGAACTTCACTTTTTTTGTTTTCTTTCAAATTGTTGGTTATATATAAAAGAAGCTCACTGCAAAATACTCAGAGAGAGAAAACAAAAACAAAACAAAACAAAAAAAAATTAGAACTTCCCCCGAAATGTACAGCTTTTACATTTAAAAAAGGTTCTGAAATATACATACAAGCATGCTGGACATTCCCTCCCCCCGCCCCCCTCTAGCTCAAATAACTGTAATAATAATTTTGATTTTTCAGCATAATTTCCAAAGTTAGAAATTAAGAAAAAGAAACTTCGTCACACTGTAGGAAAGCCAGGGCTTGTACATTTCAGATTATTTCCGTAAAAAACCTTACAATTAAAATAATGCATATTTAAGGGAAATATCATACAGACTTTTTCACACTGAAGTACATAAGATTTTTTTCTTTAAAATCTATTGCCATTCATTTATTTTGCACAAAAACATATAAATATGTTAACAACTTCTCTTAACTTAAACAATTAAATAAAAATGACACCAGATGAAAAATCTCCTTGCTGCCCTTTTAAATTTTTTTTTGCTTAGAACTGGGTCTCTGGGGAAGAAAAACCCCCGGATAAAAACTGCTCATTTTAAAAAAAACCTCAAATAAAACAAGAGTTCAAAGTTCAGATGAATCTGGGAAACAAAACCCCAGAGTGGTAAAAGATTACTACAAATGTCTACTTTACATTTTTTTCCTCCCCAAGTTAAATTTTTTTATACAAGTTTACAATCTTCATCTTTTTATGCTCTTCAAAAGGCCTTGAGAATTTTCTTTTCTGATTAAGAAAAAATAGTGCTGAAATATTTTAAAGTCAATTTTACACTGTACACATTAGATACAAATTGTTTTGATATCTAATTTTTTTACCTATACATTGCAGAGAGACAGCTATGTGGGTGGCTTGGAGCAGAGATTGAAATGATTCATTTACAGGTTATTTCTCTGCTTTCACCTTCCCATCACAAAAGCAATTTTTTTTAATATAATTTGTTTTAAATGTTACATTATCTCAAGAAAAATACTTTTTAAAATCATAGAATTTAATTTTTTTAACCAGAACATGAAAGTCTTTTGGAAGAACTTTAAATTTGTAGAGTTCTCTCCACAGATAACTAGATCTCACAGCCTGGCCAAAACATCTGACCCTCACATAAGGCAGTTTACATGCCTGCTGCACAGTGCAACAACAAACATTAGAAAATGGAATTTAAATATAAACGCCTTGAAGCCTGGAATGAAGGATCATTAAAAATATTTCAATTAGCCATTAACCTTTAAAAATGGCAATCGTTTTACCAAAGTAACTTTTCCACCACAGTGGCATAACTTCAAGTACCAATTTAATGATATCATTTTAAAAAATTATTTCTTTGAAATAATATTTCTATAGTCAGAAAAAATACACCAGATTTGTAACTGATTCAGTGTTAACAAAAAACATACTTTTGGACTAGTCTCCCCTGATCTATGGGTGACTCAGGTTTCAGTAACAGTTTTCTAACATCATTAAATGCATTGGAAATATATCTCAGTCATTGCCCTACAATACATTAACTTACCCCTTTCAATTTGCCTTTATTTTGGACTTTAAAATGTTTTCCCTCCCCACCCCTCTTTTTCTTCCATATAGTAGTGTTATCCTTCATTAAATACTGCCCACTTCTTGCTTTAATCAGGCTAAATACAGTTGAATTCTTTAAAACACTGTAGGTTCTTAGCTGAAAATGCTGACACTATTACAGTTCTGAAAGTGCTCCTCTTTTGCACATGGTCTCCCTAATACATCTTTTGATTGTTACTGTTTTTAGCTCCATTTCTGATTTCTGGCCAGAAGACTAAGAGGTATGTAGATTAATAATTCCCCGCTGGAACGGAGCTGAGTCTTTAGGATTATTTACTGATTCCTGGTCCTCTATAATTTAAACAAAACCTAAAAATAAATAAAATTAAAATATCTCCAGACCATTCACTTCTACATGGACAGGAAACAAATGCGTGCATTCATCCCAATCCACTCTGACAGGAACTCCAGATAGACAGAAAACTCCATTATTTATAATAGACTATAATTGGTTCTCTTTTTCTCCAAAATCCCATCGTATGATAGTCAAACAAAATAACCTTTAGGCAACCCAAATGGGTCACTACAAGACTTTATGTGCAGGGCTGAAATGACTCTTAATTGTAAATCAGTTCCCCATGTAAAAGGACATCTTCAGATTCTCTCTCTTCTTTATTTCACACTGACCAGTAATTTCCGGGCCTGTAAGCTCACACTGCATTGAGGGTATTGTATATATTTCCTGTTTCCGGATGGCCCCAGATTTTTGATAGAAGCTGCCAGAGATGTGTCAATGGACTGATTAGTTTTGAATACTGCAGAAATCGTGTGCTTATGGAGGAACTGAAGCATAGCACAGGACCTCGTGCCTGGTCTGAAGAGAAACAAAGTTTTTATTTTTTTGCAGACTGTGGCACATTTCTCAGGTCAAGGGGGGAATGAGCCAGAGGAACAAGTGCTTTTCTATTAAAGTATATTCATGATGGCGTTATACAACTGAGTGAGCACCACAAAGTGAACAGGAAGGCAGGAGCTGCGATCCTGAGTGGCAGGATTACATGTGAGCCAGGACAGTGCATTGTACTGCTCCAAAACAAACCTGAATGAGAGAGAGAAAGAGAGAGAGAGATCGAATAAAAGCATTAGAAAATTACAGTCCTGCTCTTCATGCTGGTCTTTTAAAAAAACATATACTTGGAAATTTCTACAAGTCAGGAATATATCTGACAAAACATGTGAGGGGACTGGACTCAATCTCTCGAGGTCCCTTCCTGTTCTAGTGTTCTATGATTCCATTAAAACTTAGTTTTATCAGTATCTATTTGTCCTTGGAGCGTCTGGGTGCTGCTAGGCTGCCATCACCAGGGCAGAGAGTGGAGCCTCGGTGGCAGCTGGGTCTCTGGGGTCTGGCCAGGATCCCTGATGCAGAAGCAGGAAATACAAAAGCCCTAAAATCCCAGTTCCAGCTGGGGCTCAAACCCGGCTGTATAAAGGCTTCCAGGCTCCCTGCTTGGAACTGCCTGTATGCCATACCATGACTTCCAAGATCTATTTTTGTGGAAGTCCTAAGATGGCATACATGGTGGGAGGTTCCACCATTAGGCTGGTCCCAGAGCTGGGGACTCCAGGGTTGCTTGTTAGGAGGGGTACATGTTGGATGGTGCTGTCTTGCATCCTAAAGGGCTGAGCACGATGCAGACTGGAACTGTTAAAGTAGGAGAGAGATTCAGAGGTTCAGAGCAATGGAAGATCCCTCAGTGTTCAGCAATCAATACTCTGTTCTCATTGTTTTGGGAAGGAGGGGGATTTCGCAGCAGGAAGATGTTACCTCAAAACATCAGATGTAGTTTTAGAGTCGAGGGGGTGCGGAACCCTCTGTGAGTTCCTGACAGAGAGAAGTTCATCAGTCTGTGCTATGGAGATATGGTGATGCAGTGAAGCCTATGGAAAGAAAGAGACAAACACAGTCATTTGCGTTACAGGCATGTCTGCACATTTCACAAGGACCAGCAGCAATATCTCTGCCCTTTTTCTCGGACAACCTGAAATGATGGTTAACTATGTTTAGACTTTAGAGTTGGATATACTGTACTCCACTGAATCCTGTGTCCATACACATTCTGTATCTCTACAATTTCACTCTCAAATGCCTGTGTGAACTGACCCCAAATTTTCATTACTGGGGACAAGATGGCTCAGAAAATGACGACCTGTAGTTTACAGTCCATAACCATTATATATGCATAAAAGTTATTTCAAGTACTGAAAGCCAAACAAACTATATAATGTTTTAGCAACTGGACTTTACAGTATCTAGTGCACTTCTGAATGTTGCAGCAAAAAGACTAAACCGACTAACGATTTAAAGAAAGAATTCAGAAAGCTTCCATTTTGACTGTTTTTTACAACTGGAACTGAATCTTAACAGCTCTGATGAATTTCCAAACTTCAAAAAAATGAGGTTTAAAATGAGCAATAAATCTGATCCTTGATCCCCATTTTCATATCTGCTTGGTTTGTCATCTCAAGCAATGCAGAGTTTAGCCAAGCACATATTTAGACAGAAGGTCTCCCTGGAAAAACAGAATTGCTACAGCAGGTACGTAGATGACTCACTGAGTTCTCCCTTTTAGAACTAGGGATATTGTGCTAGAGGTGCCACTTTTTATCTTACAGATGACAATTATTTGATAATTATCAGATCTTAATACAAACTCAACTTCCTCTGCCAAGTTTTCCTACAAACGTGCCTTTACGCTATGTAATGCTCACTTTTCTATATTCAGTAACCACCACTGTAAGCCTGCCTTTTTTCTGTCTGGGGAAAGGGAAAAAGATTGGTCTTTTATAGCAGAATGATGGACACCAACATAAGTATCTAGGAAGCTAAAGACACATGATAATGAAAGAATTCAAGATGTTAGTTAAATTGGAAATGGCATTGTTTGATTACTCTACATCTTGCTTAATTAATTCTTCTGGAACTGTATCTGGGGTACATTATTTTCCTCATTTCCACTCTGTGGGACTAAAAAGTTGCTACATCCAACCCCAGAGGTGACTACATTTTTCTAGTAGTTGAAGCAATTCCTGTGTAGACAGTATAAGGCAGGCATGTCCAAAGTCCGGCCCGCGGGCCAATTGCGGCCCGTGTTCCGGTTTAATACGGCCCCACAGGTAATTTGGCAATATCTATCTTTTATGGCCCCCAACGAATCCATATGTATTGAGATGAATACATTGTAAAATCTCAGTTAATGTCAGTTGGTCTAAATCAGTTATAAATATATTTGGACACAACATGTATACTTGGTGTTATGTTCCTGTTCATATTTTTTGAACTTAAAAGTTGACAGACAACCTTTATTACCAATAATATGTAATGTACTTTACAATGTTCCTGACATATATTTCAGCTTCCTGGATTTTTTTTTCATCTGGCCTTCAGATATGAAAGGCAGAGTGATTTAACACCTGTTTAGATTTGTCATCCATGTGACGAAATGAAAAGTATGCCGTTTGCAATAAACTTTGCATAAAATAGTTAATTTGCATTTAATTTTAATGGTTCAAAGAATGTCAGGCAAAATGGTCGGCCCTCACGCATGTTCACTTCATCAAATCTGGCCCTCTTTGAAAAAAGTTTGGACACCCCTGGTATAAGGTATATAAAGTGTTTTGTGATCCTTTGGAATGTAAAGCATTATATACAATGAAGCAAAGATTTTGTAGGATTATAGAAGGACACACTAAAGACACTGATCCTCCTCCCTGTTCATGCAGGTCTTCTATTTTCTTACTCTTATCACCTCCCTAGCATGTTATGTCTGTGTACTATTTGTGCGGTTTTGTATTGTTTAGTCTTGCGGCTTTGACAAGTTGTAAAATGGAATAATTCTAAGTTCTTTTGGCAATCCTGGGATGTGTGCAGTATTTAGAAATGTATATGAGCTGTGAGTGGAATACTTGTACACTTTCACTGCCTGTTTATAAAAATCTATAAAAATGTTAATCATAAAATAGAAAAGATAGTTAGCTTTTTCCGTGACTAGTGTTCTTCGAGATGAGTTGCTCATGTCCATTCAATTCAGGTATGTGTGCTAGCCATATGCATCAATTCCAGAAGATTTTTCCCTCAGCAGTATCCATACGGGATTGGCTCTGGCACATTCTAGAGTGGCACACAGATGCCACAGTATATAGGGCACTGCTATCTCCCTCCATCCTCATTTTCTTCTTGCCAGAAACTGACCGTGGTGAAGGTAGGCAGGACATTGAATGGACGTAAGCAACACATCTTGAACACCACCAGTTACAGAAACAGGACAAAATGGGTCTTTGTCCACAAAAGCTTATGCTTCAATAAATCTGTTCGTCTATAAGATGCCACAGGACTTCTCGTTGTTTATGCAGATTCAGACTAACATGGCTACTCCTCTTATATACTTGTCAGAAACAGCTAAGCATCTTTGCTTCATCACATGATTGCTCATTTCCATTCACCTTAGGCAACTCCAAGCAGTACCCCTGGAGACAGGTAGGTGGTCATGGACATGCAGATCACAAGACAGCTCTGCAAAACTCAGCATCATCCCTGGCCTGCTGAGTGTTAGTGTAGTAGATTGTGAACATGTGTGCCGATGACCACATGGCAGCCTTACAGATGTCCTATATTGGAGCACGAGCCAGGAAAGCTGCCAAAGATGCTCGTGCTTGGTTTGAGTGCAGCCTCATTGTTAGTGGTGACAGGACCTCTGCCCGTTCATAACAAGTCTATTCAGTTCAAAATCCTCTGGGTGGACACTGGTAGGCCCTTTATCCTCTCAAGTCAGTGAGATGAAGAATTGGGATGACTTGCAGAAAGGCTTCACCTCATCCAAATAAAACACAGGGCTCTGCTTCACATCCAGGGTATGCAAGTGCCTCTCTTCACTGCTCTTATGAGGCTTAGGGCAGAAGAAGGCTAGGAAGATATCCTGTTTCTTGTGGAAAGTAGAGACCCCCTTGGGCAGGAAAGATGGGTGGAGCTGAAGCGGTAACTCTATTACTATTCTTAGATAAGGTGGTACTGATGCTAAGGCGTGCAATTTGGAGACCCACCATGCTGAAGTCATTGCTAACAGAAAAACTATTTTCCAAAAAAAGTGTGACAGAGAGCACAAGACCAAAGGATCAAAAGATAGCCCTGTGTGCCAGAGAGGACCAGGCTGAGGTCCCACTGTGGAGGGGGAGACTAGACTTGAGGGAAAAGTCTGTCAAGGCCCATGAGGAACTAAGAGTGTCAACGGATAGACTACATGATTAACTGATAAGCCTATGCTTATCTGTTAATCCTGTCAACTACACGCATTCGCCCTCCTCCTGCCTGCTGCCTCTGGATCAGAGACTGCAAGTAGGGGGAAGTGGGAACAGGTCCCTTTGGCACCAGATCTGTTGCCCCATCCCCCACGCTGCTGCCTCTGATAGGGAAGTACTGTTGCGGGGTAGTTATGACCCTTTTTTGGTGGTGTCTGGACTGGGAGTAGACTATTGCCAATCATTGTTGCAGAGATGGAATCCTGAACCTGACTTGGTGCACCACATACGTGCATGCCACCATGTGGCCCAGTAGTCGCACACCATGACTGTAGTTAGGGGGAATGCCATGACTATTGTGAGGAAATCCGCTAGTGACCAGAATCTATCCAGTGGAAGGCTGAGTCAAGCACTGCTTTGATGAAATCCATCCTCTGCACCAGCAACTAACATTGATTTTGTGTCATTCACCAACAGGCTGAGGTGATGACATATGGTGACCAGCAGCACATTGTCCCTTTGAACTTTGGACATGGAACCGCCCTGAATGAGCAAGTTATCCAGGTATGGATACAACTCAATACACTGCTGCCAGAGGTAAGCTGCTGCCATTGATACACATTTAGTGAACATCCATGGGACTGTAGTAAGGTCAAACTAGAGGACCACAAACCAATAGTAGTTGAGAGCTACCATAAAACAGAGGAAGTGAGCGTGTCCCTCGAAGACAGCAGTGTAGAAGTATGTTTTGTTGAGAATGAGGGTGGCATACAAGTCTGCAGGATCCAGGGAGGGGGACAAAGGAAGCAAAGGAGATCATGTGGAACTTCAGTGTCACTAGGTAGTGGTTCAGTCTACACAGGTCCAATATGGGCCAAAGCTCACCATTGACCTTCAGAATCAAAAGCTACTGGGAATAAACCCCCCTGGTTCCTATCATGAAAATCTCCTCCACTACATCTAGCCACAGTAAGTTTTCTACTTCTTGCATGAGAAAACTCTTGTGAGACAGGTCCTTGAAGAAGGCTGGGGGTAGGTGGGAAGGTGGAAGAGAAACGTACTGTAGGGTGTAATTATGTGCCACTGTGTTGAGGACCCATCGCTCTGATATTATGGCTTCCCAAGCTGGAAGAAAGGGCAGCAAACAGAGGGCAAACAAAATTGGGGAAGGATTCGGGGTACAATCTGATACATCAACCTTGGGCGTATCCTCAAAACAGGTGCTTGCACAAGGATTTGGAATGGGTTGAGCCCGGTATGATGGAAGACTGGGGCAGTTGATCTGGACATCACTTAAAGCCTCTGGATTTTTTCTGCAGAGGCTCCTGATGGGAGTGGCTCTCTTGACTCTGGGAAAGCTGAAGCTTAAACCACTTGTGGGAAGGGTTGAGGACAAAGAAGCTCATTGTATTTGGGGTCATATGGGAATCCTTAAGACCATCGAATTTAGTGTTGGTCTGTTCCACAAACAGGGTGTGTCCCCTGAATGGGAGATCCTGCATTGACTGCTGACCTTTCATGGAAAGGCTGGTGAGAAGCAGCCAAGAGAAAGCTGATGCCATGGTCTGAGTGGCAATGCCAGCCATATCCAATGCTGCCTAGAGAGTTGCGCTGTTGTTGTGGAGCCTTCACCAGGATCACATGGAACCCCTTTCTCAAGGCCTTGAGGAAGATGGACTCAAACTGGGAGATGGCCTGCCACCCTGCCACATTAAAATCATATTGGCATAAGAAGGCCTGATAATTAGCCACCTGCAACTGGAGGATGAATAAACCTTTCACACAAACAAGTCGAGTCTCTTAGGCCTGGTCTACACTAGAATGTCACACCAAATTTAGCTGCTTATGGTCAATTTTCTTACTGATGCGTCCACGCTGCCAAGCCAGTTGTGCTGCCCTTAGGGATGCAAAAGTCGATGTCTGTACTCCTGCTTTTCACCACAATGCTATTTCTGACTGGGCACGGTCGAAGTTATGCTAGTGTGGGTGTTGCATTACAAAAAATTTGATGCTATTGGCCTATAGAAGGCTTCCTGCAGCTGTCCGCTATGACCACTCTGGCCAACACTTCTGCCTCTACTGCTCTCACGCTGAGCTCAAAAAGGCCTGGGAACTATAGAATGGCCTGTCCAACCTGGCCAGCCTTGTGAGCTCATTGCAAGCGAGCAGCACACAATCAGACATATAGACATGAAGCAACATGCGTACATTCTCTAAATAAGAGTGCCATGAGGCACATCACAATAACCATAAGCATGATGATGCTTTCCCTGCTTACAGTGCTCTGGTGTCTGCATGAGCATCACTATGGGCAAAAATTGAATATTGTCCAAAGAATCTAAGAAAAAAATAACTAAGGGTGACTAAAAGTGGTTAAAAAAACTGAATTTTTTCACTAAAAAAATCCCTCTCTCTTTTCAGGAAGGGGTCATGATGCTGAAGAATTCTGTCTTCTGCCGAAGATGGTAGAAAAGGAACTGAGGGACTCATGGTGCGAATACAGCTAATGGACAAAACAGCACAAGATGGCAACTGTGCATGCATGGCATGGGAAGGCACTGCTAGGGTAAAAATCTCTGATCGCCAGCACAAGGAAGCATTGACACCAGAGTGGAGCTTGAACTCCTCCTTTTTTGTCTTTGTGCCACAGTTTCCCCTCCCTCTCAAGACTAAGACTTGAGAACTGAAAGTTGAGGTGCCTTCCTTTAATATTACTTTAAAACTGGAGTTATGTTTGAATTTCCGTTGACTCTCCTGAAAGCCAGCACTTTCCAGAAAAATTGAAGGTACCTGTTTACCTTGCCACTACCCCCCTCTATAGACACAGGATTCTAGACAAACCTTCAGGAAGAGGGGACACTGGTTTTGTGCCTGTGGACAGGATGACCAGAACCACTGTGGAAGATTCTCAGCTTTGGCTGTTGATACAAAGTATCCTAGAGCAAGAGGCTGCTGCTTCAGCTCTTCCGGAGCTTCTCTGGAAAGAAGACGCTCTCCTTGACTCTAGACAAAAACCAAATAAACAAACAAAATAATACATCAGAAGCATGAAATTTAATCAGTTCATTCCTTGTTTCTCTGTCCCGCTCCCGTTTTTGTCAGTATCCACTGATATTCATTTGTTTACTCACCCTTCAATTCTGAATCCAATTTTGACTTGTTGCCAGCTATTATGGTACTCTCAGACTATGCAACATAGTCCCTCTGGCTAATCACAGTTTTATCAGACCACACTATTTAATCCTAATCATTGGTAGTGGTGTTCTCCAGATTAACAATTCAGGAGTACCTCAGGTCTGGAAACAACAATAGAGCATGAAAGTTGAAGTACGCTTGTCCTAGGGCTTAATGGCATGAACTGGAGCATATGACCAACAGGGAGAGGCTGAGGGAGTTGGGTCTGTTTAGTCTTCAGAAGAGAAGAGTGAGGGGGGATTTGATAGCAGCCTTTAGCTTCCTGAAGGGAGGTTCCAAAGATGATGGAGAAAGGCTGTTCTCAGTGGTGACAGATGGCAGAACAAGGAGCAATGGTCTCAAGTTGCGGTGGGAGAGGTGCAGGTTGGATATTAGGAAAAACTACTTTACTAGGAGAGTGGTGAAGCATAAAACTGGAGTTATGTTTGAATTTCTGTTGACTCCCCTGAAAGCCAGCACTTTCCAGAAAAATTGAAAGTACCTGTTTACCTTGCCATCACCCCCCTCTAGACACAGGATTCTAGAAAAACCTTTGGGAAGAGGGGTTTGGAATGGGTTACCTACGGAAGTAGTGGAGTCTCCATCCCAAGAGATTTTTAAGACTCGGCTTGACAAAGCCCTGGCTGTATTGATTTAGTTGGGATTGGTCCTGCCTAGAGCAGGGGGCTGGACTCAATAACCTTCTGAGGTCTCTGCCAGCTCTTC